GGGGGGGTGGGGACAGCTGGGTGTGGGTTCCTGGGGACCCGGCGCGGTGGGGCGGCCCACCCAGACCACTTCCGGAAGCCTGGCGGGTGCGCCCCGAGGCGGCGGAGGCCTGGGGGTGCCTGGGCCAGGCGGGAGGGTGTGGAGCCCAGGCGCCTGCCGCATCTCCCTGTGGCTGGGGCCCTGTGGCCGCCAGGGCAGCAGTGTCAAAGCGGAACCCCAAAAGCAGAACCTAGCCGGACTCCGGCTTCCTGGCCGCAGCGCAGGTGGGGGCGGGTGCTGTCCACACAGGCAGCCCCCGGGGAACCCCCATGCCAGTGGGCACAGGCAGATGTGCCCAGCGCAGCCCTCCACGCCAGGACCCGCGACCCTGGAGTCCTGAGGCCGCACCCCGAGGGCCGGCGTGGCGGCCCCACTCACCTGGTGCTGCCCCAGGCCCTGGCCTAGGCCAGCGCTGTCCACGCCAGGGCCCGGCTGCCCCGAGGGGAGGGTGGGCCTCTCCGTGGGCCCCTCCTGCCCAGAGCCAGGCCAGCGGCGCCGAGAGCAGCTCCCCGCCGAGACTGAGCCCCAAATGTCACGCCAGACAGCGCCGGGCTCCAGGCCCCGGGGGGACGCAGGATGTGGCCTGACACCCCCTCCCACCTTGGTAACAGGAAGCGGGGGTCGGGGTCCTGGGTGCTGCTCCCCACACGGCCAGCACCCAGCCTGGCGCTGGGCCCGGACAGGACGCAGCAGCGCCGGGAGGGCCGAAGCCCTGTGGGGACCCGCTGGGGCTGGCCGCCAGGGACCCCTAGGGCTGCGCGCAGGGCCCATGACCGGGGCCCCCGGCCTCAAGGCCGAGACGCCTCCCCCAGGGCCAGGCCCATGTTTCCTCAGAGTGACCGAGGGTCCTTTCTGCGGCCTGGTCACCCAGGGCACTGCCCCCGCAGCCCGGAGCCGCCCTCCCCACCCGGCTGGGCCCTCCGCTGGCCACGGGCCTGGCGACCTGGGCTCAGGCCCTGGGCCTGTGCCCCGCAGGGCCACCCCCTGCACGGAGCTGTGTGACCCCCAACCGGCACTCTGCAGCCCGCGGGCACCCCCACCTATACTGGGTTCCCCACCACCCGTGCCCTGCAGCCCCCCGCCCGCACCCCAAAGGCCCCCATCCACACCCCGCAGCTCCCTCAAGAGACCCCCCCACGCCCTCAGCCAGCCCTCATGCTGAGCACACCCCTCAGCCAGCCTCCCCCTGCCCGCACGCCCTCAGCCAGCC